ATTGCATCGGTTGAGAATATGTTGGGGTTTTCTCTTGTGATTTCAAATGATATGAGCTGTCAAACGAAACACGAATTACAAACTTGACATTTTCGGTGCCCACTAAGAACGAATGAATATCTTGTAGGGATGGTAGCGGTTTCATTTTTGAGGTGGCTTTTGTGTGTAAATACTGTTGGAGTTATTATGCATGGGACGACGAACGGGCTCATTCTGCACCTCATTAAAGGCCATTTTGCCCTTGCCCCCTGGAAAAGCAAAGGGAAAAAGAATCGGTTTTCCAAGATAAAGCAGAAGAGATCCCGGTAATTGTACAGGGGCGGGTCCGATTCTGGAGGTGTTATTTATAATTTTCAAAATTGAGATGCTTTAGCATGACGACTGAACCCATAGGAACTTGAATGAGGGGTGGCTAGCTAAACAGATGTTTTGTATTGGGAAAAACTTGAATTAATGGATTAAATTAAATCACAGGATGTTCTTTCAAACGGCTTGTATAATAATTTTCCTTTTATTTACCAAATCCTAGTAGTCTACACTGTTACATGCATAGATGTGAAAAAAGTGTTATGAAGTATATTTATATATAATATTACAAATTATAAATTGACATACCACATTTTACAAATTTGATAATTAGTAAATGAATATTATAATATAAACTATTTAACTACAAATGAATCGCTATTGTTGATTGATTGCATACAACTTAATGAATAATGTAAATAAAGTAATTTTTGTAATATTGAAACAGCATGATATTAATTAGCTAAACAAATACTAAATTATTTTATTATAATTATTATTATTGCATTCACATTTATATAATTTTCATATACCATTTAGTGTAAATTATAATTACTTCAATTTTGTAATAACTACTACAGTATAGAATAATCAATAAGACATGATTACAATTAATTAATATAAAATATAACGTTTTTACTATAATTAACTCAAAAGTTGTATAGCCTAGCATTATATCTAGATTCCAATTTCCAATCAAAACTCACATTTTTTTGAACATTTGTATAATTAGAGTTCACAAATCAAAAAGAGAAGGAAAAAGGGACAATGAGAAAAAGAAAACAAAGGAAATCACAAGAAAACAAAGCATTCTAAGGAGATAACAGGGTTCTCAAGAGACTCGGCTTCTTCCCGCGGCACGACGTCGTTTTGAGGTTCTCCATTACCCACCATCTCACTCTTCCCATCTCCCCGCCGCCACCTCACTGCAGCCACTTTCCTCGGCTGCACCGCCGGGTGCCTATTCTCCGGCGCCGCGATTGCTCCTCCATGGGTCTTACTCGGAAAGCTCTCTCTAAAGCTACATACTTCCGAAATATCGGAAACAATTTCTTCCCCGTGCAGATCGGGTTCGGCGCGAATCGCCGGCGGCGGCACCATCAAAATGGCTCCATTCAGTTGTTGATTTTCAGGCGGCTTCACGGTATTAACTCTTTCATCTAATTCCGAGACAACCTCCACAAGGACTTCCTTCACAGTTTCTTCTGACTCGAGCGTCTCATCTCCTGTGCTGTGACAACAGCCCATTGTTGTGTATTTTCAGAAATTACTTTAATTTTGGAAAAATAAACCGATTAAATGTGCATTTTCGAGTGAGGAGGGCAAATACACAGACTCCTCTGCTCTATTATTTTCACTACTTTTTTGCTACCATGTCCTCTTTGTGAGTTGTAGCCCATCTTTTCTCCCAACACAAATACCCAACGTGTTATATTTTTTCATCAAAATATATATATATATTTTTTCATCAAAAAGTGAATGAAGTATCTATATATATATATATATATATATATAATTGCTAGCTAAGCAATAAATTTTACCTAATAAATAAAACCTAATAAATTTTATTTATGTGGCATTAATACACCCAATCTCATTAATAATAAAATATTTCATTACATTTTTTTGGGTTAATTAAGACAAAAACTATTATGTTTTAGACAAAAACCATTATATTTTATGTTAATTTACTAATAATTATATTTTTTATTGAATAATATAATAGTTAATATTAAAATTAGTAATTATATTTTATACTAAATAATATATGAAAGTTACATAAAATTATATTTTACACTAAAATCAATATTTTTTTATATGATGAAGATGTTGTTTATTAATAATTTTTTTTATGTCATAGTAAAATTTCTTAAAATCACATAAGCAATTGTAATAATAATGTAATACTAGTATGCGACCTGTGCATTTGCACAGATATAAATAAATTATTGTGAGTCTGTATGCATATAATGATTAATTATTTTTCTTTCACTTTTTTGCAGACCAAATTTACTTAAAAGAGTTGGAATATTTTTTTTAAAATTACGTTTATCTAATTGGATGTAATGTTTATTTTGGTACGTCTTTTATTTGTGAATTATTTATTATTTATTTAAAAATTTCAAATATATTTTTTATTTTAAAAAAAAAAATTAAATGTAACAACAATAATAACATCTAATCACATTATACGGTCAACACATTATATGGTCAACTGTCATTAATCAAAAGTTTAAAATAATTTTTGTAAATTTAAAGTGATGAGTATTAATTATTTAATGATTAAATGAAAGATTAAATACATCAAAATGTAACGGTTTTTGGAGGGAAATTGTTAAATTGCCACATAGGTAAAATTAAATAGGTTTTATTAAATGTTTTGAGCTAGTAATTATATATATATAGATATATTTTTTATTTTCAAAAAAAAAAAATTAAATGTAACAACAATAATAACATCTAATCACATTATACGGTCAACACATTATATGGTCAACTGTCATTAATCAAAAGTTTAAAATAATTTTTGTAATTTTAAAGTGATGGTATTAATTATTTAATGATTAAATGAAAGATTAAATACATCAAAATGTAACGGTTTTTGGAGGGAAAATTGTTAAATTGCCACATAGGTAAAATTAAATAGGTTTTATTAAATGTTTTGAGCTAGTAATTATATATACTAGTTTTTAGCCCGTGCATTTGCACGGAAAACAATATAATAGAACAAAAAATAATAAAAATATATAAACAATAGTAAAAATCGTAATATAATCATTGAAAAAATGTTCTAAGAAATAATAACTAAATATTGTTAAACAATTCTTTATATACAACATTTGTGGTTTTTCTATCAACAGAATTTCCATCACTACGAATCATATCTTCAAATTAAGACATATAATGGTTTTAATTGTTTCAATAATTATTGTATTTTGTACTATAGATCATATAGAAAATTTAAAAAAAAATACTAAAAAAATACCAGCAAAATATTACAAAATAAATATGTGCCAAATATTTAAGACATTTGAACAAAATGACAATTTTTGGGCCATAAAGAAATATATTGATTGAATGATAAAAAAAAGTCCACTTAATTTTTTAGGGTAGCCAAAATCAAATATAAAACAAGTCAATGATAACATAACTATAAATAGAGATAAACTCCTTGAGAGTGATGTAAGCCATTTTTTTTTTTGTTTGATGTCGGCGCTTCTCTCGTTATTCACTCTGTCTGAAATCCTAATCCTTAACCCGATATTACGACAAACTCGGCGAGATTCAATACAAAACAACTATTTTACCGGAGATTTTCTCCCGGTAAAAGCTTAAAAAATAAAATAAAAGACATCCGATAAATGTTGTTTTTGTGACCAACAGTAGTGATCGAAAAATAAAATATTCGTCCCGATTTCTTAATATGTGTTGCTAAATCTTAACAAATCGGTCAAAATCGGGCGATAATATTACAAATCTATGATGAGTTGAAATATTTTTTATTAAACGTAGTTTCTATTTTTTATTATTTTCAATGATCTGTGTCGTTTTTCGAAATTCTTTGTGAATAAGCTTCAAGATATATCATATTTTATACATAATTCTAAATTATTTAGATGTTTTTCAAAATCGTTTTTCGAAGAGAACATGACATTGGTCGAACTTTTTCAAACTTTTATGTATTTTGTTCAGGGTTTGAAAAAATATGTAAGTTTCTAACAGTTCTATTCAGCTCTACTAACAAATATATAGGTAAGTTTATAACATATCTGTTCATATCTGTTTATAATATACATATGTAACTTTTATGTATTTTGTTCAGATTTTGAAACCTAAATAGTTCAATTCTTTGTCGTATTTCTCATCATATCAGTAAGTGAAACTTTGCTAACACTTGTTCAAAATCACTTTTCGAAGTTGTTCAAAGTCTTTTGCCGAAGTTTTTCAATTTTTTTAGTATTTTGTTCAAAATTTGGGAATATTAGGTAAGTTTATAACAAATCTGTTTAGATATATTTATCGCATATTAGGAATTTCTTGTTTAATGTTTAAAAGAATCTGTAGGAATTTTTATTTTTAAAACTTTTACGCAAAAAAATCGATTTTAATATAAAGGCAGATGTCTTGGTAAAAGTTGAATTGTTGATAATGATAGGGAAATCAAATTATTTTTCTTTCTATATTGTATAGTGTTCAATAATGTTCCACATAATTTGCTGTGTTTTTAATTTTGATTTTTTCATATAGATTTGACCTTTTTTTGTTGATTATTAATTATGCTTGATATTTCTATATTATGCAATAATCTGCCATTACATACAATGCCTTGTCAATTCTCATTCTTTGACTTTGCCAATTTCCGTTTAATATGACTTTTCTGTTGCTGAAAGTATGTTTTTAATGCATTAAAATATTGATGTTTTAGATATGTTTTGATGCTATAATCATGCAGAAATTTGTCCCGCCACTTTTTTCTTAAAGAGAAATTGTTTAATGAAAATTAATCATATTTATATTTATAATTGTGAAATAATATTTTTTTTTTCACGGCCAACAGTTATTTTTTTTAATGAAAAATATGAGACAATTTATTCAACACACTTTTTAATTTATAAAAAAATAATGTTGATTGCGATAGTCAAATATGCAGAAATCATGCATTTTATTGAATAGTAGTAATATAAAATATTTTATTATTACTACCAAATAGAAAGTCAAAGATAGTTAATTTTGCACTATTAATTATGATCATATGGATTTTTTTTATACATACGTTTTTTTAAATGAACTTTTTAAATGATAATATTGATAATATAGACTTTGCTATAATAATTATATAGACTGTGTTATAATAAAAATTTATTTATTTAATTCATTAATTTTTTTTTCAATTCATCTAATTATGCGTATAGTCTAAGTTTATAAATTATATGTCATTTAAATGTATCTATACTACTAATTTATAAGGTTTTACCATTTGGGGAGCTAAATTTTTAATTTTAATTATGAAACTAATTTTTCTTATCATTTTGTAGTTATATGTTTGATTGAGTATGGCTGAAAATTAAATTACAAAAAAAATAATTTCATTTTTTATATTGTAATGTAACATGATATGTATTATAATGTTTGTAATTAATACATTTGTTAATATTTCTTATAACTTTAATTGCTTATTCAATTCATAATGAAATAAAAAATAATAATATATAGTTTCTGCACAACAATAATGACTATCATGTTTATATATATAAATGAGAATAAGAAACATAAATGTGAGATTAACTAAAAGAAACTTTTTTAATTTAGTCATTAACTAATTAAGTTTAACTAAAAGAAACCTTAGATTAATGAGTGATTAATTAAAAAAATGTAACTTCTTTTGGAGGGAAAATAAAAATGTTTTTATTAAATGTTTTATTAAATGAGGTTAGCTAGCAATTATATATATATAGATATAGATTTTTCAGCTAATTAATTGGTCATGATCACTCAAAATTATAAAAAATATATATTTATTGCATTTTATGCAATCAATATAGTGATTCGTATACAATCAAATCGTGTGTACTATTTATTTTAACCAATGATAAAATTTTAAAATATAATACTATTATATAATTTATAATTTTAATATTATATACATAAATATAACTTATAATATTTAATTTTATTTACATTTGTGCAAATGCACAAGGTCGAATACTAGTATATATTTTGGAGTCCAATAAAATGGATAATATTAATTAGAAAACAAGCCTTAAATAGTTAATGCATAGTATGTGGAGGGAATATGATTTTGTTTTCAGACCTTCTCCACCCGTACTATAAATTGCAAAAGTTGCAGTACGTGATGCCTCACTCGATCTACAAATCGGTCGCAAAAATGATTTCTCTCTCTCTCTCTCTAAATTTGCGTTCAATCTTCTTCTTCTTTTTTATTTTGTCCTTTAACTTGTATTAATTTGTAAAATGAATTAAGTATTTTACTTAATTTTTTGAATAGTATATAATAAAATAATTTTCAAATTGACAAAATGAGTTTTAAATATACTAAAGTTTCTCTTTTATTTTTTACATGAAAATTAGATAATATGATATTTAAAATAATGGATATCATATTTTATATAGGTTCATAATAGAGTAAATATACTTATTAATTTTTTATTTTTCACAATACCAGTGTAAAATATTAAAAAAATCTAATTTCATGAAAATTAGATAGTATAATAATTAAAAAAGTTAAT